TATATTTATATACATGATGAGGTTATATGTATTTATGTATACTTTATACCATAGATAGTCTCTATTCAAATTGAAAACGATTACAGTTTGGGGCAAAACCCAATCGTTTGCCCGAGGGTGGTTTGAAATTTGAAAGCATGTGTTCTTTGACAAGCATAAGGGGTATAAACAGACGTATACAGATAGAGAGAGAGAGAAAGAGAGAGAGAGAGAGAGAACAAGAGAGATAGGCAGATAAAGACTAAAATACCCACTGATGAGTTGGCAATAATTCGGCTGAGTGGTTACTGTCAACAGGCAAATAGAATAGAAGGTGTTCCAAATGGGGGCGGGTAAGCGTTATTCTACACTCAATTGCTGGTTGTTGTTGTTGCCGCTGTCGATGGTCTTTTGTTTACACGTAAAACATCATGCATATTTAATTGGGTTAAATTGCTGGGCGATTAACATTTGAAAATGAAATGCGCAGATAATTGAGTTTACTTTGCCTAATTACAAGTGACTGTTCTGTTCACAGATAAGTGTACAGGTAAGCCTGTTAAAACCTGTGTGCCCACTCGTCGCCATAGAGTGGAGAGCTCCATTAAACCGATTAAGCCATTTAGTTTGAAGTATGTTCCAATTAATAAATTAAATGCCTGCCCTATGAAGGAGAGAAGAGATCGTTTCGCATGTGATGAATCCTGCGGAAAAGTAGCCATAGTTCAGACTGATACTTGCTTCAAGTAACCGATATCTTTTAGCGTGTGCTGAATATAAATATATGCCGAGTATATAGTTCTCATTTCATTTGGACAATCGAAAATTCCATCTCATAATACCCCATATGGTGCACCCATTCCATTCCGAGTAATTCGTGCACCGTTCCTCTTGCTTAGGGAAGGATGTTCTTCTTCATTTCCTCCCATAGGGCATGGAGCAGGTCTCATTCTCATGACTTTTTTTTCATTACTTAATTATTAATATTTCATTGAGACATATTGAGACATTGACTTGGTGGTCGCTGTGCTTAGCCTGCACATTAACATTGAAATGCGCGGGACACACACGAAAACAAAAAATTCGTCGATCTCAAAAGATATAATAGTATATCTTCCGATAGTTAAACGGACAGGCTAAATCAACTCAGCTCGTCACCCTGACCAAGAATATATATGGGCATTTCTCCAGAAAGGTCAACCGCAGCCAAAAAATTCAAAGTCAATGAAAACATGTTCTACTAACATATTTTTATACCCTGAATTAGGGTTGTCTAAAATATATCAAAATATCAATATGTTTTATATTAAGTAAGAACGTTGCAGTCGGGCGATACCGATTGCAGAAGACTCATTCACAGCCCGAACGCTGTCAACCAGACAGTCAGTGTCACTATATAAGTGCAATTTTCAGGTTTCTAGTGCGCAGCAATAAACAGGGCAAATTCCCATTAAAATTAGAAAATTTGATTTTGATTTTTATTATACATTTATATCCATATATTGGATACTGGCTTCAAGCTAGCAGCAGATCAGCGCGATTTTCCTATACATGTGCACA